TTGGTGAACCCCTCTTGCCCCGGGGTTATTGCGTCCGGTTCTTCGGTCTCCGGTTTCCGGGATTCCGGTTTTTGCAGTATCGTCGAAGATCTCCACTACCCCCTTTATCGGTAATAATCATGTTACATTGTTCGTAGAATAACAAATAAAAAATAAATCAACTATTTTCTTTATGTCAATAAAAATAGGTATGCACCGGTGCATCTCATGAAAAAATCACTGTAGGTGGAGAATTCCAGTTCATTAAAGATATTCTGGAGGAAAGTTTGATTCTACGTAATAAGATTCGGTAAGTCCAAGATAATAATTATTAATTTGATAAAGGCTTTAAACATTATTTTTTTTTTAAAGTAATCCTTGATACCAATTATAGTTGGTATACTTCTAAAATTGGACGGCTGGAAACAGTTAACAAAATTGTTCGTGAATTAAAAAAAACTGGAGTAAGTATCATTTTACTTTGTGTCACACTTATAGTTCATAATTAATTTTATGAATACGTTATTTTGTATTTTTAAGATCGACAATTATGTAGTTACAGAATTTTGTCAGGGCCAAACGCGAAGATGGGGTATCGGGTGGTCTTTTGGAACCCAACGACCACCGATGGTAATATAATATTCAAATTTTTGGAAAAATTACTGAGGTTTACAGGCTTGAGAGGAACTAAATTTATTCCTTTTGTTTCAATTTCAGAGCACTTCACAACCATCCTCTAAAAAGCTTCGTAAAGCTGGGCCCCCTAAAAGTGAATTCTGTGTGGTTTTATCAACAAACGCAGATAATCTCAAAGAATTTCTCAAAAAGCTATTCGATCAATTGGAAATTGGAGGGCAATGGAACGAAGATTCTTATACGTTTATTGGTAGTGCAAATATCAATACTTGGTCGCGTGCTGCTCGACGGCAAAAATCGAAAACAGATTGCCAAATAGAGCCATCTACCATAGTCTCTACATCAACTGATGAGTCTTTATTTGAGTTTACCTGTAATATTGAGCCATGGAATGTTAACACTAATACTTCGAAGACTACATTTTCATGGACAAATGGCAAAGATCGAAGTATTTTTGAATCATTTTATGCTCATGTTAAGAAAAAATTAGAGCAGGAGTTTTCCACTGACGAATAATAATGATTACGTATAAGTCATCATGTTATTCTCTAGTGATCATTACATTTTAAAATAGTTTTATACGATAGAAGACATATTTCTGCGTTTTTCACTTTTTTGTAAGTAAAATAGTAAAATTAGTCATTGTAAAGCTTTGTGTATATTTAAAAAGAGAAGAAAAAATCCGACAACTAGGACGGATAATGGAGTAATTTGATTGGTTTTCTCATTTCCCGACTTGCAACTCTGAACTTCAGAATTAAGAATCTTATATGCGTTTTTTATCTTTCATGAAAATTCGCTTGCGCAATTCGAGGCCAACCAAATTTTATCTTACCGATATTGAAACTACGGAAAATTCCTATTGCTGATGTTTTAAATAAAGTTCATTGAATCAGTTTGATAAAAAATAAAATTCAAGTAAAAAATAAATGTGAGTTTGTAAATTATGTTTAAAGGTTAAATTTCAAAAAATTTAAAAAAATAAAGCAAAATTTATAAAAATTTTTGTAATTTTTCTTTTTTTTACTTCAGCGATCCTACTTTTATTTTTTAAATCGGCAGTACATTACAGCGAGAATTCGGTTGGCTAAACCTACCATCTAACTATTAAATAATTCATGCCTATACAAATAAAAATTCTCTTGATCTGTCTCATCACAGTAGAATTTCAGCAAGCCGAAATTCTACGCTAGAGTATAACCCAGAAGTGACCTGCCTAAGTGAACAATTTTTCTCTTTCTAGGATCCTCAACTTTCTGAGAATGTAAGCCCCAGATATCAACAGATGGTTTTCACCAACCTTGTCAGAATCACTGCTTTACAATAGAGTATCATCAATCTGATGATATTTTCTTGTAGAGAAATAAAAAAGAAAAAAAAAAAAATACAGGAAAAATGAAAAAGGAGTAAAATATAAACAAACATACAATGAAAATGATCAAATTATAAAGGAATCTAAATATTATTCTAAAATCTATAAGATTTTATTTTCAGATATAAAACCTGCTAACCAGATAAAAATTATCTACATGGTTATAGAAATTTATATATAAAGCTATCTGACAAAAAAAAAAAGAAACTACAAACTAAAATGCACTCAAAAAAAAAAAATTATTACAACTCTTTCTACCAATCATTAAAACACAAATTTTTACAAAAAAACAAAAATACAAAATCAACAAAACTCAAGAATGCACTAAATGCAAAGTATATTTTTTAACAAAATCCTTTTTATTAAAATTTTTCAACCAATTAACAATAATTAATAATTTAAAAAATTACAAAATTCACAAAACAATTCTTACTGATAATTACTTGTACCAACTTTTAACTGAAAACAAGCAGAAAACTCAAAACCAGAAGTTAACAACAACTTGAAGTTTTTTAATATGAACTGCTATCAACAAAGTTTCTAAACTATATATGCCAACAAAATTATTTTGAGTTTTGGGATACGAAATTAAATTTTGAAGATGAAATTGTTTTTGACCTATTTTACTTAAAAGATGAAATTTTTTGATATTTTTTTTGAAGAGACGAAATTATAAAGAACATAACTATCTAAATTAGATTTGCTCTTGCATATAAAAAATTTTAAA